CTGCCAGAAAACTCAGACCCAACAATGTCACTTTGGACTCTGCATAAAGAAAAATGCAACTAAAAAAGAAACTGGAGATACATACAGCTGTGCTATGTATATTATTTTTAAAAAAACAACACAACCTGAGTGTCTAACATTTAGGTAATAGCTGACTACACAAATCATATTATACAACAGAGCCATCAAGGCAATAAATTTTTTTTATATATATATTTTTTTGTCTTTTTCATTTTTATCGGTACCAGGGATCAAACTCACAACCTCCTGCTTGCAAGGCAGGTGCTTATGCCACTGAGCTAAATCCCCAGCCTCGGCAATAAATATTTTAAACTCATAAATTCTAAAGGAAAAACTATGGGTGATTTATATGTCAAAAATCCAAACTTGTCAGGCTGGGGAGGTGGCTCAGTGCTAGAGTTCTTGCCTTGCATGTGTAAGGCCCTGGGTTCAATCCTCAGCACTACCCACCTCTAAATAAAAAAATAAAAAAATTCTGTATTTCTGTATCATAAGAAGACACCCTTGGTCAAGTTAAAGGCAACAAGTGATAAGGGTTTGGAGGCCTCTAGGGACCTCCAGCCTCAGCAGGTGAGGGATGAGGACTGTAGTCTCACCGTTAACCCCATGCGTGCTGATGGGGATTAGGCACTCCAGATGTGCAGACCTCATATCCAGGGAGGTCAGCAACAAGAACCTGTTCATAGGGGCCCTGTGGCCAGCCAAGAGTGGCTGGAAGAGGCCCCCTTCTCTGCATCTGTGGTGGCCCACAGAGGCCAGAGGAGAAAGCCAGGTGCTATGGACCCTGGCCAGGACACCACAGAGGATTCTGGGGGGGTTTTGGTTTGGGTCTGGAGCATCCCCAAAAAACCCTGGGCCCTAGTGGAGGTTTGGGGTCCTTGGAGTTGTCCTGAAGGACACTGTGGGGCCTCGGTCTGTCCCTCTTTCCCTTCCAGCCACAAGCAAGCAGCTTAGCTGGGCCTTGTGCTCCCTGCCATGATTCTCTTGCTTGGTTCTCTTGCTTTTGGGCCTGTAGCCAAGACCGAACTACAGGCCTCAAGCCCTAAACCCAATACCCCTTTGCGCTTCACTGCTGGTTACTCCAGGCATTTGCCCCAGTGGTGGGAAGCTGCCTGAGCAACCCAGGGGCAGCCAGAGACAGGAGGGCATGCATTCCCCAGGAAGGTGAATGTCGGTATGTTTGCACAATAAATACAAACATTCATTTCTTTTTAAAAAATTTTGTGGGACTGGGGTTTGAACCTCAGGCCTCCCACATGCTAGGCAAGTACACTAGCACTGAGCTACCACTTTGATGCATTTTTGTGCTGCTTCTTAAATACCTACCATAAAGCCAGGCATGGTGGCTCACACCTGTAATCCCAGCACTCAGGAGGCTGAGGCAGGAGGATGTTGCAAGTTCAAGACCAGCCTAGGCTACAAAGTGAGCTCAAGGCCAGCCTGAACTACACAGGGAGACCCTGTCTCAAAAAAACAAAAACAAACAACAACAAAAAAAAAACCTACCATAGGTAAGGCACTATCTTACCAACAGCCTCATAGCTTGAGGTAGAATTACTCTTTTTCTACTTAAGGCTTGCAAATATATAAGGAGATATTAAAACAATTAAGAGAACCTGAGGTGATGGTGCACCCTTGTAATCCCAACACCCTGGGAACTAAGGCCAGAGGATCAAAATTTCAAGCCCAGTTCAGGCAATTAAGCAACTTAGTGAGATCCTGTCTCAAACTAAACAATAAAAAAAACTGGTGACATAGCTCAATGCAAAGGTTCTGGCTTCAGTTCTTAGTACTAAAACAAAACAAAATAAAATGAAGTGAGAAACATTAAGAGAGAAAAATAGAGAAGCCAAGTGGGTCACAATAGCGTGCATCTGTAATACTAGCTACAGGAGAGGCTGAGGCAGAAGGATCGAAAGTCTGAGCCCCGTCTGACAACTCAGCAAGACCCTGAATCAAAATAAAAAATAAAAAGGGCTGGGGTCGTCACAGCACTGGAGTAGGGTGGGGCAGAGACAGACACAGAGACACGCAGAGACAGAGAGGGAATTGCTAGCACAGTGGTTGAGGTCAAGTTAAGGGCCTGAGCTCTGTCTAACCTGGGGCTGCCTACGTTCTAATGCCTTGTCTGTCCCAGGTTCCCGTCTGTAGCTCAGGGTGGTCCAGCACACTGCCCAGGCATGGCCTGCAGGAGCCATAGTGCTGTTACACAATGCTGCCTTTCCTTCCACAGGCTTTCCTGGATGGCTCCGCGGTGCCCCCCCACCCTCCCCCTGGGAACCCCCTCCCCAGTCCCTTCAAATCGCTCTCTCCTACCATCTGCTCACTGCTAGGGCCCAGGCCGCAGGAGACACAGAGTCATTTAAATCCCTCAGAGCTGTCAAAACTTATTACCTGGCTTTGCATATCACCCTCCAGCAGTCGCCTCTTAGGAGAGGACATCTGTGACGCCACAGACTGAATTTCAGGTATAAAGGGGGAGCACCTTCTGGCCCTCCTGACCTGCTCACGCATTAGGCCAATGTGGTGCTTCCAAAAATGTATCTGCAAATTCCCGAATCTGGTTCTTCCTGTTTGTGATTTGCCCCCTGTACATTGCCGAGATGATGCTACAGACTGCCGGGTCTGGTTCTTTCTCTTTCTCTCCCTCTATCGCTCAGCCTTGTGGAGAAATCACTTAGGGACAGCAATGCCTGGAGAGTCTCCAGATCCTCACCAGACTGACAAGCTGGGGGAGCCTTCCCCGACTCTGGTCCCCAGCCTTGGGGTCACCTACCCAACACAGAGCACACATGCACTGTCTCCACTGCTCTGCCCAGGCAGCGCTCACGAGTAAAGTCAAGCTTATCGGGGCTTTTGTTGTCTTGTTTTGCAGGATTGAGCTACATCCCAGCTCTTCGTATTTTTGATTTTGAGATAGGCTCTATGTAGTCCAGGCTGGCCTCAAACTTGTGATCTTTCAGTTTCAGTCTTTCTGGGATCAGCCTCCCGAGTTGCTGATCTCCCAAGCGTGTGCCACTGCACCCAGCTAAGCCCCTAAGCTCTGGGAGTCTGTTAAATCGCTGTAGTAATCGGACACAGATCCTGGAAGGGCTGGCGTAGTGTGTGCAGCGGACCTTGCTCTCAGGCAACCCCTCCTTGTGCTTAGTCAAATGTTTGAGTCTTGAGACTCAGTGACTTTTGGAGCAGGCCCTGTGATTGCCATACCTGGTCTGAGCCTGACCCACAGAGTGCCTGTCATACCGCCACTTGGTCCTATGTGCCTCTCCCATACATAACTAACTATCCAGTCTGTGTAGCAGTCAGAGAGCAGAGCTTTAGCATCAGCTAGAACCACCTTCAACGCCACCTCTACCACTGGCTGTCCCTGTGCCCTTGGGCCAGTTAATTATCCTCCAGTTATCTTGCTTGCCTGGTGGTGATAGTGATGTTTACCTCACAGAGTTAACGTGACTATTAAGTGAGTTGTAAATTAATTCTTACAGACATTAAATATAGTTTCTTGCCTCTGGTATCTTCTTTATAGCCACATCAGATAAACGTTCTGCTAGAATTCCACTGTTCAGAACCTTCAGTGGCTCCCTAAATCTGTTACAGTCCAGAGTCCTTACCAGCGTGTGCAAGGTCTTCAACAATCAGATATTAAATTATTTTGATTCATCTTTTGGTGCTCCGTTATTCTAAGGCTCAGCTTCAAACTGAGGGGTACCAGAAACTTCCAAAATACTCCTCACTGGGAGCTGGGGATTTAGCTCAGCGGCATAAGCACCTGCCTTGTAAGCAGGCAGTGTTGAGTTCGATCCCCGGTACTGATAAAAAAAAAAAAAAAACTTCTCACTTTTACTTGTCAGTGTTTTTACCCAAACTTTTCCATCCTCAATTTGGAATATCCTGGACCCTCTTGATCACCCTTGCATTTGGGTGTAATCCATGTTAAAACTTTAAGTAACTGCACATGGATTTAGAGTATAGTATTCTCCTACCTGCTGAGTCCAGCTGTGACGTTGTTACTGCCAGAAACCCACCTATGTTATTTAAAGACAAGCAGGCCAGTACCTCATGTAATGTGTGAGGAGACTGGTGTAACGGGATTGGTCCATACGTGCATATTTGCAAGCATTTACAAAAGCTTTTGTAAGCAACAGAAACAAAGCAGTCATTGAACCACGGCTGGTTAAATACAAATGTCTCTAAGCATTTCTATCCTTACCATGTACATGAACATCTGCTACCCTAAGAGACACACGAAAGCCCTGTGTTGTCGATCGTAATCCCATAAAATTATTCAGTCATCTACACACACTTACACACTCACACTCACATTGGAACAATGATTTGTGCCAGTCTTTGCACCAGTACATGAAGCAGATCTCAGACTTGGGGTTAGCTTCTGACCAATTCTGCTGTGTGATCTAAGGAGATGTCTTAACCCCTGTGATCTCCTAGATTTTAGCAGGACCTGCTTTACAGAGACCTGGGCAGGCTGTAATGAGTTAAGGGAGGCTACGTGGCCTCAAGCACACGCCTCTGCATTCAGAGGTTGTGCAGGAGCCTTTAAAGTTACCTGTGTAACATCTCCTCCCAGAGTCCCTCTGTGACAGCATCCCTGCCATTCAGCCCCTGCCTCAGTCTTTCTGGGCCACCGCACCGACAGGGCATCCATTCTTTTTCAGACTGAGTCTTGGGGCTGAATCTTCTGCCTCGATTTACCCCTCTGGTGCACCGGTGCCCCCCAGGAAAGGAGAAGGCGGGGCCAAGGGGCGCACACCTGAGCAGGTCCCTGCCCAGCCCCTTGCTGCAGGGAGACAACCTGGGGGGGGGGCCCTCTGCTGCTCTCCGTTCCTCCGCCCCCAGAAGAGGCTCAGGTCCGGCTGCCCCTACCCCGGTCGCTCAGGCCGAGGCCGGAGAGCTGGCGCCGGGCATCGCGGACCCGCATCGCCCCAGCCCCCCCCCGTGACCCCCCCCCCGGGGCCACCCACCTGCTGCGGGCTGCGGCTCTGGCCTCTGCGCTCCGGCTGCCGCGCCGCCCGCGCCTGCCGCCCCTCCCGCCCGCTCCACGTGGCCTCCACGTCGCGCTCCCGCCGCGGCCACCGCCCGGCGGGCAGAGTCCTGAGCCGGCGCCAGCCACGCCCCGCCCCGCCCCGCCCCGTGGGCACCGCCGCCTGCTCCAGCGGGCTCCCTGCCGCCCCGAGGGGGGGCGCGGCGCTGCATCGGGACCGGAGGAGCTGCGTGTGCGTGTGCGTGTGCGTGTGCGTGTGTCGCTGTGTGTGTGTGTGTGCGCGAGAGGGAGAGAGAGTATGAATGAGAATGAATTAGAGTTTTTTTTTTAACTGATTGCACCCAACCCGATGGGCTGAGCTCTATCCCCATCCCCATGTCTTTTCTCATTTATTATTGTACGACCACGTCTCACTAAATCCCTAAGTTGCCCAGGCTGAGCTCAAACTTGTGATTCTCCTGCCTCAGCCTCCAGAGTGCTGGAATTACAGGGGTGCACCACAGATACCAGGCTGCAGCTAGAGACAGAGAGACAGCGAGGCTGGTGCGTATGAAAATAATGTTTAACTGTAGTCAAATCCGGGTGCCACTGGCTCTGCCTGAAGGACCCGGATGTATGTGACAAAATAAATGTCACTTGCTGTCAGCACCTGTGGTGGTGACTGGTGTATACGGTCTTGGATATGAGGAACTTGGGACACAGTAGGGGGCATTTCGTGTGACTGTGTCCAGACTGATAGTATGGGCTCGAGAGAGGATGGCCAGTGTGTGAGTGTCCACGCGAGTCGCCTATGTGTGTGACAGTGTGGGTGATAGCAGTATGTGTCCCAGGAGACTGGATGAACTCATGCTCAGTTGTTTTTTTATTTTTATGTGACACTGAGCTTCAAATGCTGGTTCTGGTAGCAGGATCACTGAGTGACCTTCACTACGCAGGTTACTGAAGAGTGGCCCTGTGTGAGGGGAGGGGCCGATGGGAGTGTGTGGTCACTGCAGCTGTCATTTTAAGGGCCATGCTGGCAGCTGTTTCACAGCACAGTGTTGCAGTTGTGTGACTGTTGCTTTGTTGACCCTGTGGCTTGTCCCTTCACCTAGGTAGGCACCAGCCTATACCCTCAGCCACCGGCCCAAGGACTTGGGTCTTCCAGTGACCTCTTATGTCTTCAGCCTCTGCCTCTGCCTCTCTGTCAGCCTCTGCCTCTCTGTCAGAACCCGCCATCAACATCAGCCACTCTGTCCCAGCATCAGCCACTCTGATCGCTCATCCTTTGGGGAGGGAAGTGCCGCTGACCACTGCCCCCCCCCATCCCATGTCATTTCTTCACATATAGAGTCCTCATCTCTTTCCTCACTCTCCACTTGGGGTCCAGACGTAGCAGGCTTGACCACCTGTCCCAGGATGCCGACAGCTCACATATCTTTCGGCACTATCTGTTATGGGTTCAGCTGTGTCCTCCAAAATTCAGTATGTTGGGGGGCTGGGGATGTAGCTCAGAGGCATAAGCATGTGCCTGGCAAGCAAGAGGTTATGAGTTCGATCCCAATACAAAAAAAAAATTTCAATATGTTAAAGTCCTGGATCAGTGCCTCAGATGTGAGCTTATTTGGAAATACGATTACTGTGGACTTATCTCATAAGATGAGCCCACACTGAGGTAGGGTGGGATCTGAATCCAGATTGGTGTCCATATCAAAAGGAAAAATTTGGACATGCAAAGGAAAAAGGCTACTTTGGTCTGGATGATCCCACAGATTTGTGTATTGAAATTTCATCCCCTTTGTTATGGTGTAAAGGCGGGACTTTTTCAGAAATGATTGGGTCACCAGGGCTTTGGCCTCATGAATAAATTAATTCCCTCATAAAAGAGGCTTCAGAGTCTCCTCATCTTGCTCTCCTGTCCTTCTGTCCTTTCCATCATGTAAAGACAAGTAGATGGTACCCCTTATGCAGATAAAGCCATCACCAGACACTGAATACGTTGACACCTTCATCTTGGACTTTCCAGCTCCCACAATGGTGAGAAATAAATTTCTTTTTTTTTTTGGTCTTTTTCCTTTTTATCGGTACCGGGGATTGAACTCACGACTGCCTGCTTGCAAGGCAGGCACTTATGCCGCTGAGCTAAATCCCCAGCCCCGAGAAATAAATTTCTGCTGTTTATAAATTTCCCAGTCTGTGTAATTTGATTACAGTAGCACAGACTAAGAAAGACATGGTATGAAGACGGAGATGGAGATCAGGATGAAGCTTCTTGGAGCCGAGGATTGCTGAAGACATCAGAAAACCACCGGAAGCTGAGGAAGAAGCATAGATCAGCTCAGAAGCAGCCTTGATCTTGACCTCTGGTGCCCGAAGCGTGCACAGCACATTTCTGTTCTGTGTAGCACCTGGTTTGCAGCCCTTTGTTATTGCATCCCTAGAAGCTAACACTTCATCTGAACGCTGACCACTACGAAATCTCTGACTCCAATCTGTGAGCCCCAGAGCACTTCAGGAATTGAGCGTCCTGCTGATTTGTGCCTTGGCCTTTGCTTATAGACTCGTTGTATAGTCAGTGCTGTTGAAAGAAAAGCTGAAGGTTATTCACAGCTACCCTGGAGATCAGAGGCAAGGCATGCCCTGCTTCTGGGAGAGCACCAGGGACCCCCCAGAGGCATATAGGAGCCAAAAGAGGGCTCAATGATACAAGGAAAAGGTTAGAATTAGTTTGAATGGTTCTGGAGGATTTGGGGAGCCATGGGATGTCCCCTAACCCTATAGTACCTGTCCTCAGAGTGTCTTGGATCAGGAGTAATACTGGTTTGATGTGTGAGAGTTCAATAAAGTGGGTCAGAAGGAATCTGTATGGCAAGGGAGACCGTGCTCACTGCTGGGCCTTGTGATGGATAGAATTCAAACAGACTGAAGAGGAAAAATTAAAATTTTAAATAAAAGCCTGCCCAGGATGCTCACCAAGACCAAGCGGATGTGTCCAGCAAGCTGAATAACAGAACACTCCTTCCTTTATATAAACTCCTGTCTTTGCTGACCTTGTGTAACCGATGGCCTTACGATGTCACTTAAAATGTAACAGGACGTTTCTTCCTCTGTAACCCATGCGTTGTAAAGCTGATAGCCTTGTGATGTAACCTGTAACGTTTACACTGCCCTCACAACACATGATGTCACCCAACCCTCCAATCATATGGGCTGAACCTGCCCTTGTATCTCCCCCTTTACCTTCCCTTTAAAAGCCCTGAAACTCCCCACTGAGCAGGCCTCTGATTCTTTGTCATAGTCATCAGAAGCCCACTCTGTAATAAACTGCCTTCTTAACCTCCTTGGTGCTGTTTCTTCCTGTGTTTGGGTGTTTTCCATAATACTACAGTGCTAACAACAAGTCATTCTTGGAAAAGGATGAGAGTATGGGTCAGGGTGCTCTGATCAAGGGTCTGACTCACAAGCTGGGCTCACTCAACCAGGTGGTGCTACTTACAAGATAGTCTCAACCTGCTGTTGATCTTGAGGGTGCACAGGTCTGTCTTCAGCCACAGTTTTGATGGCATCTCATCTTTGGCATGGACGCCCGCCCAGGCCCTCGTCCCTTTCTGACTGCCTATTAATTTCTATCTGACAGGGCTGGGGATTTAGCTCAGAGGCATAAGTGCCTGCCTGGCAAGTGCAAGGTCATGAGTTCGATCCCCGGTACCACAAAAAAAAAAAAAAAAAAATTTCTATCTGACTTAGCAGGGTGATTGATTCTCCAAGGAGAACTCACTATTGCTTGAGGATAGTTTGTGTCCCTTGTCATAAAGATGTTCAGCAGTCAGAGCTTCACAGATCTACAGAAAACATTCCTAGAATTCATTTGGAACCAGAAGAGACCTAAAATAGCAAAGGCAATCCTGGGCAACAAAGACAAGACAGGCGACATCACAATCCCTGACTTGAAAATATACTACAAAGCTATTGTGATAAAATCAGTATGATACTGGCAAAGAAACAGACCTGATCATCAGTAGAACAGGTGAGATGATGCAGACACAACTACAAAGACACTCAGCCACCTTCTCTTTGACAAAGGAGTCAAACATATTCACTGGAAGAACGATAACCTTTTTAATAAATGGTGCTGGAAAAAATTGGCTTTCCACATGCTGAAGATTCGAACTAGACCCATGTCTGTCACCATGCACTAAACTAAAGTCAAAATGGATCAAAGATCTAAATACTGAAACTGAATCTACTGGAAGAGAAGGTAGGCAGAAATCTTGAAGACATAGGGGTAGGCAAAGAGTTTATGAACAAAATGCAAACTGCACAGCAAGTACTTCAAAGAATCAACAATGGGATCTCCTTAAAAACCTTTTGCATACCAAAAGAAATCATCAACAGAGTGAAGAGCAAACCCACAGAATGGGAAAAAATTTTAGTCAACTGTTCCTCAAAGGACTTATATCCAGAACATATAAAGAACTGAAAAGAATCAGGGTCCCCAAATTTGGAGACTCAATCTAAAAATGGGCATCTGAGATGAATACACAATTCTCAAATGAAAAAATACAAATGGCAAGTAAATATATGAAAAATGTTCAACATCATTGGTCATTCGAGAAATGCAAATTAACACTGAAATATCATCTCACTCCAGGAAGAATGGCTAACATCAAGAAATTAACCAATAACAAATGCTGGTTGGGCTGTAGTGAAAAAGGAATTCTTCTTCATTGTTGGTAGGAGTGTAGACTAGTATAACCACTGTGGAAATCAGTGTGGAGATCCCTCAAAAAACTAGGATTAGAGGTTCTATTCGACCCAGCTATTCCTCTTCTGGGAATTTCCCCAGAAGAATTGAAAACAGCATATCAAAGTGATGTATGTGCACCCATGTATATAGTTGCATGATTTGTAATAGCCAGATCTTGGAAACAACCCAAATGCTCATCAACTGAGGAATGTATAAAAAAGATGTGGTATTTTCACACAATTGAGTATTACTCAGCTATAAAGAAGGATAAATTTGAGGCTCCTATAGATAAATGGATGCAACTAGAGATCATACTCATAAGTGAAATAAATCAGATTCACATGTGTAAATATCGTACTGTCTTCCTAGCATAAAAAAGAAGTAAACAAAACCCAAAATGTACTATAGATATTGTGAAAATGAAAGGGAAATAAAGTGCTCAAAAGGAAAGAACAACTGGGATGGGGGAAGGGAGAAAAGAAAGAAGGGAAAAGATTATATAGATACACATGTATGCATACATGTGTGTATGTAAATATATATCAGCTAGATAACTATACTGCTAATCTCTGTTCATCAAAAGGAACAATTGTTTTCATTGTCTGATTGTTGGATAATATTTTTCATGCCTAAATCTTGTAATCTGAACAATTACTTTCAAGATAACAGTATGCAATATATTAACTCATGTTAATTTCCTAGTTTTTGGAATTCTGCATCGTTATCCTTTTTCTGTTTGTTTTTAAAATACTATCTATCTATCTATCTATCTATCTATCTATCTATATCTTCCTTCAAGGAAAGAATGGCTCAGAAAAGGGAAGGGGACAAATGGAATCAGAGACAAAATGGAGTTAGTTCATGCCTACTGCTGGCAGCATTGCGTGCGACACCGTGGTGAGCCTGCGTGAGTGACTTTAACCTAGGGGTGGAATGTCACCACAGAGCAGCTGAAACCTAAGCATGCAAATTTGGACCTGTGCAACAATTGGACAGTGGCTGTGCCAAGTGTGTGAGGGTCACTGTGAACGGCTGTACTCTGAGTGACAGGGCAGCCTACGCCCACAGGACGGCTGTGCCTCTCGCAGGTCAGACTCGGTGGGTGTGAACCCTTGAGGAAGCCACCTAATACAGTTCGCAGAGGAAAAAAAGATCGCAGTTGTGGGGGAGGCTGGTCGTCCTTACGCTGCACCCCTTGTAACGGCCCGCGGAAAGCAGGGGGCTGAGAAGGCCGAGAGGCGTGCACGAAGCAGGGAACCACTTCTGAATTCCGGGTGAACTCTGCTCTGACTCCCGGCGCAGCGGCCCCGCACCCCAGCACCGCCCCTGGCCACGCCCCGCGCTGCCTCGGCGGTGGGCGGGGCGGTGCCGGGGGCGGAGCCTGCAAGGCCGACCAATGGCGTGTGGAGGGGGGCCGGCGGCAACCTGCGGGCGGAAGAGTGGGGGTTCAGGCTCCCGGGACAGCGGCCAGCCTGGGGTTTGGAGCTTACCCGCACAAAAGATGCCGAGTTCCTCTCCTAGTCCCCAGAGCAGCACCTGGACAGAGACATTCTCTCTGCTCTTGCCCTGCGTTGCTCTCTACCTGGGCTACTACTGGGCATGTGTGCTCCAGGTGGGTGCGGGCGCAGTGCTCTGGCCGGCGGGTTTGGGGGTACTCCGGGTAGAGGGGAGGCTTAACCCCGGTTCGAGCGCATTGTGAAAGCTTTAATGATTGGGTCCCTTTCCCCAAATGAAAGTTGCTGTTGTCACCTTTTGGAGAGTCTCTGCTTCACCTCTGTATCTCCCTCTGCCTGTTTGGACATTTGGGGCACTGGAAGGGTGCTGCCCACGGAATGTGGAAGGCATCTGCGGAAAGGTGGGGTGGAAGGCGTCCAGAGGTGCCAGATGTGCTCTCTCTGCTTCCCTTTTCTTTTTAGGTGATCTAGCCGAGTTTCTCATTGTCTGCACCGAATGATAGAACCCACGAAGTATGTGCTTGTGGCCAACTCTTTAACACCATCTCCATCAGCCTACTAGGATCTTGCTCCCCTTGAGGGCTGGCTGAACGCTGTGTCTCACTGGTGAATAACCACAGCCGTGCTTGCGCATTCAGCCCTGTTTTTAAAGGTCTAGATTCCAGTGCGTTGAGAAATTCTGAAGTGGCTGGTTTCAGTCAGTTTGGGAATTTTGTGACATTTACACAAAACATATAATCTACATATCTAAGAAAAGTTAAATCTTTTTATTAAAATCAGTATTAGGTAGCTGAGTCTAACAAGAAACCTATTGATTCAAATTCTTTAAAAAGTCTTACCAGGAGTGGTGGTGCACACCTGTAATCCCAGCACTCAGGAGGCTGAGGCAGGAGGATCACTATGAGTTCAAGGCCAGTTTGGCCTATATAATGAACTCAAAGCCAGTTTAAACTACACAGTGAGACCCTGGCTGAAAAAACAAAACAAAAAGCAACTTGGAGGAACTGTTTATGTAGCTGTAGTCCCAGCTACTGGGGAGGCTGAGGCACTTGAACCCAACAGTTTGGGCACTATAGCTCAGAGTAGAGCTCGTTTAGTATGCAGGAGGCCCTGAACTCAATTCCTAGTACCAAAACATTTTTTGAGACCTATAGGACATTCTAGTGTTATCTAGACTTTTCTATATTTTCAAAGCTTTCTACATTGGCATGGTTTATAAATTAACTCGGGGCCTGGGATATGACTCAGTGGTATAGAATGTGCTTAATCTCTACCACTTAAATAAATAATTCTTGCTAATAAAGTTTAAAAATCCAGATCTAACAGTACTCTGTAAGCCTCATCTTATGCATCAGGTTTGGAAAGTTAGTTGTTTTAGATCAGACCTGTCCTTAACTAACATTGACCTTTGCTTGTTGCAGCCCTACAGGAAGCCACATTTGTGCCACTTAATTCACAAACCCTTTTCTTGACTTCCCAACACTGGCCAAAGTGCAGGAAAGGTACTATTCTGGAGGTCCTTAGCACATGGGACCTGGGCTGTCCAGCATAACCGTGGATTAATCCTGATTTAATCACAGCAGCGAGTAGCATTATTACTACATAATTCTCAGGAGTGAATCAAGAAACTTTGCTAGAGGTACGTTAAGGTAACACACATAAATCACACCTAGACACTAATTCATTAGCCTCATTTTTTTTTTTTTTTTTTTTTTTTTTGGTACCAGGAATCAAATTCAGGACCTCACGCTTGCCAGGTGGGCACTAGGCTACTGAGCTATCCCCAGCCTTACATTAGCCTTGTTATACACTACTGAGCTGTTTGATCCAGAATTTAATGATAGGAACTCAATATCTTGGCAGTTGGAGGGGACAGAGTGCAGTATCTAAATGGCACAGTACTAGGTTAGACAGACCTAGGTTTGAATCTTCAGCTCGGCCACACACAGGCTGTGGGAAGCTTCGTGCTCTTCAACAAATTATCCAACATTGCATCCTGCTCCACTGAAGGGTCTCACTCAGCACGAGAACACAATGAGCACACATTTTTTCACAAGGTTTACTGGTGATAAAATTATTAATTCTGCCTTGCCTTTTGCTTACTGTGTGACTTTGGGCAAACTAGTTGACCTCCAAAAGTTACAAGTTTGTCACTTGTACCTTACTTCCTAAGGCTGGGCTTAGCACAGTAACTGCTTGTAGCACACAGGTTCCACAGGTTGTCTGTCCAGAAGCAAGCAGCAAAGTTGAGTCCAGGCTCTTTGCCCACTGACCTCATTTGTTCCTGTTAGCCCATCTCTACCTTTCCCCTAGTTGGCGTAGAGAAGTGTGTTCACATTAGCACTAATCCTCCTGCAGGGCTTGCTCTTTAATGGCAGGCACCCCACATGTAAGAAAAAACAAGGTACCGCTCAGCAGTGACCACACACTAGGGAACATGCAGACAGTGGAGTGCTCCTATCAGGAAAAGCCAGAGTCTGAGGAAGACTGTGTAGTTAATTCATCTGCAAGACAAAGCTCCCAGGTTGGACAGTGCCACACCTCTTCAGCCCTTCCTCCGGAGCAGTCTATATGGCCTACTGTCTCCCACATGGGTCTGTGGCAGAGACAGGTTGAGTGGGGGAGGCAGTCCCCAGTCAATTCCAGAAAAGTGACCCTCAAGGACTGGAGATTTTTGTGGCTCTGGCTATTATCAGAGGTGACTCAGCCATTCCAGACTGAGCTGTGCTAAGTATCTCTTTCTCTTCTGGTGTGTTCTCCAGGCCTGCTTCTGGGAAGGGGAGTCACTTACCCCCGGGCATTGGGTGTCTCACCAGCCACATCAGGGGAGTGAGGCAGATTGTGCTGTGTAATTACAGAGCCCTCGCCTGGTGGCTGGACCTCCATTTCTGAGGTTCCTGAGGCAACACTGTCCCCTCACTGTGGAGACTTTCTACCCCACACTATGGTGTTTCGAGGGACGGCTGCAAACCATCTTTCGTGTCTTTCTGCAATCTAAGCTGCAAATCCCTTACCGGAGGTAGGAAGGGAACAGGATGGGAGAATGTGAAACTCCAGGTAGGGAAAACTGACTTAGCTTTATTAAAGCGAAGGTAATCTTCGCCCCGTCTACCCCAGTGTGTTCAGGGCACAGAGACTGGATGTCCCAAAGGGCTAACTGCACACCCAGTATGTCCTAATCTCCTGTCCCCATCCCACCTTGGTCAGCCGTACTGTTGCACAGTCGGCCTTCACATGATGCTGGTGATGGGAAGTTGCAGGACTTGAGTGTGGGTGAGGCAGGAGGTGAACCCTGGAAGTGTATTAAATTCCTCACAGTACCGTTGCATGCTCCTCTTGTCCAAACCACAGTGAAGTCCTCCGGACCCCAGATGGAGGCCAGTTCCTGCTAGACTGGGCCGAGCAGCCCAACAATGATCACCGCCCTGACCCTGGCACTCAGCCCATTGTGTTGCTGCTTCCTGGCATTAGTGGCAGTAGCCAGACCACCTACATCTTGCACTTGGTTGACCAAGCTTTGAGGGATGGCTACAGGTAGGCTGAGCACAGCCCATGAGAGGGCCAGTGAGAACTAAGAAGAAATCAATTTGACTCTGACGTGGTACTCCAGGGAGTCTTTCAACAGGGTCTGATGATTATCAAAAGGGGGCTTGTGGGAGGACCTGGCTCATGTACCCGTGTGCCCCCAGGGCTGTTGTATTTAATAACCGAGGCTGCCGTGGGGAAGAGCTGCTGGTGAGTATTCCCCTGGTTCCTGGTGGCTCTGTGCCCACTCCCCTACAGATCTTGGCCCTTCGAACTTTCCCTTTCTCCTGTTCCCCACCACTTCCTGAACCCTTCCGTTTCCCTCCTTCTGGCAACGGCCTCCTTCCCTGTCCAGTGGTCCTGTGTGTCCTTAGACCCACAGGGCTTACTGCGCCAGCTACACGGAAGATCTGGAGATGGCTGTGAGCCACATAAAGCGCCGCTACCCTCAAGCGCCAGTGCTGGCGGCGGGCATCTCTTTTGGAGGGTAATGGCTGCTGCTCAGGCTTCAACCCAGAGCCCAGCGTTCCCTTCTTCCTCCAGGCCCTTTTCCTGCTCCTGCCTCGCTCATGCAAACCCTGTCTCACGGCTTCTCACCCAACCCCACAGGATCCTGTTGCTCAACTACCTGGCACAGACCGGGGAGGCTGCGGGCCTGGTGGCAGGACTGACTCTGTCTGCATGCTGGGATTCCTTTGAGACGGCGTACTCCCTGGAGACCCCCCTGAACTCGCTGCTCTTCAACGAGCCCCTCACATCCATGCTCTGCCAGTTTGTGGACAGGTAGGATGCAGTTTGGCCAGTGGAAGTGGGTGGGCTCGCCCAGCGATTAGGTATGTCGTCACCTGGGCCTTCTCCTCCCAAGAGGCAGTAGGATAGATAGGCTGTGGGCTTTGGGTCAGACGCAGGAATCAAGACAATCTTCGATGTACTTTCTTCCAGAAACAGAAAGGCGATTGGAAAGTTGGTGGATGTAGACTTTGTCCTACAGGTATGTTCACTCTTTCAGCCCACCCCTGCCCCGGTGTTGGTCTTCCCTCTTCTTGTTCTTTATTATCTGAGTCTTTGCTGCCTCTACTGCACAGGCCCGCACAATCCGCCAGCTCGATGCGCGCTACACATCTGTAGCCTTTGGGTATCCAGACTGGGTTGCCTACTACCATGCATCAAGTCCCAAAAACAAGGTAGGCGCCATCCAGCGCCCCGTGCTCTGCCTCAATGCAGCAGATGACCCCTTCTCCCCAGTCCATGGTGAGTACCCTGAGACACATGAGATACTGGTGGCGAGGAGAGCCTGGGTTCCTATCAGGAGCCGGGTTCCTGACCACCTCTCTGACCCCTCCCAGCCTTTCCCCTACAGGCGGCCCAAAACTCCTCCCATGTTGCACTGCTTATCACAGCTCGGGGTGGCCACATTGGCTTCCTGGAAGGCCTGCTGCCCTGGCAGCACTGTTACATGAGCCGCCTCTTCCACCAGTATGCCAAAGCCATCTTCCAGCACCCAGAGGAGCTGCTTGACCTCAAGGTGCTCACCTCCGGGGACAGAAAGAGCTGACAAGTCTACCACTTGGGGGCTTAATTCAGTCTTCCCTTTTTTATTAAATATCAACCCTTCCTGCCTAACAGGCTGAGGTTTATTTTCCCTTTCCTCAAGTCTGGCATAGGGATTTGGGAACTTATTGCATATTTAGCCTGGCTGGCCTGGTGCTATCCATCTGAACCCACAGATGACTATCTGAGTCTTCTTCTTTTTGGCCTCTCTATGTCATAATGGCAAGTGTCAGGCCAGTCCTTGCGCCCCAGCAAAAGCCAGGGGCTTCACGTGAAGAGTGTGACAGCAGGAGAAACTGATTGTTTCTGCAGCAAGGATGCAGTGCCTCCAAGCTCTTGGGCATCTTCACATGTTTGCAGAGGACATGCTCAGCTTCGGAGCCTCTGACGGGCAGAGACGAGGAGGCAGGTAGTGTGGTCTGCACTCAAACACCACTGTCCTGCGTGGATCTGCAGGTGGTGAACGTAGGGCTCCTAGGACCCAGAGTCACGCAGGGCCACAGCCAAGCTTTGACTGAGAAAGGCAAGTAGTACCCATCATCAGAGGCATCTTCAGTTGTGGGCCCAAATGGAGTGAGTAATGGGAATCTAGGCCTCCAGTCCCCTCTAGATGATGGCCGGTCCAGGCCCGATTCCCAGAGAGCCGGAAAACTAAAGGAAACCTGGAAAGGCACTCTGGAGCAGAAGAATGGTCACGAAGATAAGCCCAACGCATAGTAAAAGTACCAGCCACACAGGAATGCTGCCTGCAGGTGGGGAGAAGGGAGAAAGGGGCGTCACAGACCTGAAGACCACAGCCCTCAACCCGTTCTGTTCAAGGAGCAGGAGGAGGGACGGCCTGGACCGGCCTCTCTCTCTAGGGCCGACTGTGCGCTGCAGGTGAAGGTGGGTGGTAGCCCCACCCCAACTACTCACGCCGTGAGGGCAGCAGGTGCAGCTGGCAACGACTGTCGGCAGCCACGGAGACTAAGCCAGTCTCGTGGGAACCAAGCAGCTCTGATCCACGACTCTTCTCAGGGAGAAAGGCCACACTCGTCACCACAAAGCTATGAGACTCTCTCACATAATAGAGACGCTGGGGGTAGGAAGGAAACTAGTGAGGGAAGGCCCAGCTGCAAATGTTTTAGAAATCTGCTCTGTACCCCAGGAGGCAGGCTTCCCCTACAGGCCAGGCCAGGCGCCTGTCTGTACACACAGTAGCACAGGCCTGCGAGCCTCCCACAGGCTGTGCCCACCTCCGTCCATTACCTGGAGAGAGAAAGCTATGTAGATGGCAACAGAGCCAGTGATCATGCCCAGGCCTAGGAAGGTGCCCGATTCACTGCAATAGACAACAAAGTGTTCACTGTCCTGGAGGCCAGTGCGGCCACCTTCACTTACCAACAGCTGTCCTAGGGACTCGGGCAGGACTCCTTCCCAAGCTCCCCCGAGCACCCTTTACCTAGCCAAGCCCATACTGTCTCGCACCTGACATTGAGGCAGGAGACGATTTCGTGGCCACAGGACTTAGTGCGAAGAGGCAAGAAGGTGGAACCGTCCCAGGCTGTGAGGTAGCAGGACGGGCGCTTCTTCTGCAGGTGCTTGTGGGGGATCTGCACTGTGAAGAGTCGCAGCCCAGCAGGCTGATCTGGAATCTGCCCAAACCTGGGGGCCGGCAAAGGGCCGTTCAGCTCCAGGGCGTGCCCAGCCTTCCAGTGAAGGTTTCTGCCCTGGTGGACCCTGGGTAGGCCTAGGGTAACATGAACAAGACCACAGTCCTCCCCAGTCCGCCCTCCCCTAATGTTTTCCATTTCCCTTCCCTAGCTGGGCTGTGTGTCTTTTAACCATCAGTCTTCATACCTGCAGAATCGGTAGCGGTAAGGTATGTCGGAGAAGCTGGGTCCATTCTCTTGCCAGTGCAGCTGTGTTACCAGCTGATCATTCTGCCAGACGAAGGCCTTACGGTCCCGGCCCACGGTTACCAACTAGTCAGGAATAAAGGTTCCAAAGATGGACAGTTAGAAGATCTGCTTACTATACAGATAGCATAAGCACCTCCTTTTTCCTTTTCTGCACCCCGGTCCCATAACCCACCTCCTTACCTTGCCATCAGGCCCCAAAGCCAAATCTTCGATCTCATCTTCATGGGCTTTGAACTCCAGAACTTTCTCCAGGGTGGGTACCTACGGCCAAGCCACCACCACGCACCATGGTTAGACCAAGACTAGCAAGAGCATTGCGACCCCCACACCTTTTTTTTTTTTTTTTTTGTCTTTTTCTTTTTTATCGGTACCAGGGATTGAACTCACAACTGCCTGCTTGTGAGGCAGGCACTTATGTCACTGAGCTAAATCCCCAGCCCCCACACCTCTTTTCTCATCTCACAGCTACATATAAGTTCTCAAGAACTTGAATTCAGATTCTCACATTTTTGGACTTTTTCCGTTGACATTCATTCTTCCTGACCCCTTCAACCATACCTTCCAGACACGAATGTGGCCATCTGTCCCTCCAGTGGCAATCAGGGTCTTATCAGGGCTGAAACACACAGCTTTCTGCAGTATATCTTTCTGCAGGCCGAAGTCTGTCTGCACTGCTTTCAGGTTTTCTACTTTGAGCTCTAACTCCTCGCGCTGAGTTTCAGCTCCCCTTTTCTTTGCTGGGGCTGCCCCCTTTCTTGGTCGAGGTCCCTGCTCCTTGGAACCTGCAATACAAACAGGTTGCCAGGATACAGTCTTCTACATTAAGTAGTACAGATCCCTTTCTACAGGACAGGTGTATATCCCAGCTTGTGGCTGCCACCATAACCCCACTTCCAGTTCCACTTCTTTTGACCAAGATGAATGATCTCACTCATTTTGCCCTTTCCCCGAAGCTTCTCACCTGCCTTCTCTGCCTTGCTGCCCTTCTGCTGATGGGCCTGGAAGCGCAGAAGCTGACAGTGCTCATCTTGCCCCGCAGCTAGGATGTCACCAGCCAGGGCCAGGTTCATGGTGGCCCGTGTCTCTGTGTCATGGGAGTGCAGCAAAGAGGCACTCAGGCACCCGTCAATCTGCTCTAACTGCAGAAAATGCTGTGGGAGACAACCAGGATGGACGAAATTCAGGGGTGCAGGGAGAGCAGATCAAGGCAAACTCACCTCCTAGTCTGACCCTTTAGCTTAATGTGTCTTCTAGTTCACAGGGCTAAGCCTCTAATCTTTTATTTGGTCCTCAATCTGTACAGCATGCAGAGATTATTACCTTCTGGTTTACAGATCGTCTTGAAGCTTGGAACAGCTTAAGAACCTAGCCTAAGGGCCAAAAATACACCATTCACCACTGCTAGGGGGCAGACAGAATAGTGTATGCATCCCGGAAGAGAACGGGACAAACCCCTTAGAACCGCTCCTGAGGTTGAGCATAGAAGTTCCTACCTAAGCAGTCGGTGTCCAGCTCTTAATTTCGGAGTCCCTCAACTACCCTGGCATCCGAGCGCCCGGTCCCTGCTTATTGGAATTAAGCAAGACTCGAAGCTTGAGTGCGGTTCACCCCTGAGGCCGCCCCAGTTTCCCCGGAGTCGCCCTTCGCCAGCGCGGTGACCCGGCCCCAGTAGCCCTGCGCTCTCACCACTCCATTATTTATGCCAGTCTTGGAGGCGCCTCCTCCGCCAGCTACGATGAGCAGCCCCGAGCCGGGGTCGACCTGAAGCGCGTACAACGGGAATGGGGCCCGGTACAGCTCCAGAGCCCGGCGCCGGCCCATCCCGCCTGCCACGCGTTTACTGCGCCAGCCGCTGCTGAATTCGTCCGGTCGCCGACCGGACCTCTTTCACTGCCGCTGAGTTTCTACAACTCCAACCACTCGCCAACACCGGCGTCTCGACACCGAGCTGTCGAATTTGGTTTCCAAGGAGCGTAGTGCGCACGCGCCTACGCCCTCTGCATTCCGCGCAGGCGCAGTACGACGCTACGCGTCAGCACTAGCGGGCCACTGAGCCCTGGCGCCCAATCCGGTTCTCCGCCCTTTGTGACGTCAGACACGCCCTCTTTCTCGAGAGGTGGGGCTGGTAGAGATTGCAGAAATCTCGTGTGTAGCGTGTGTGTGTGTGTGTGTGTGTGTGTGTGTGTGTGTGTGTGTGTGTGTGTGTGTGTGTGTGTTCACACTGGGCTACATCCCTACTTGGGGATCGCAGGTTCTCAGTATACGCCATCCCCTTATTTTTAGACAGGTGTGTGTGTATGTGTGTTCACACTGGGCTACATCACTACGTGGGGATCGCAGGTTTTCAGTGTACCTCATCCCTTTATTTTTAGACAGGTTTTTGCTGAATTGATCATGGTGGACTTGAACCTGTGATCCTCCTACTTCAGCCTCCCAGACTGCGTTGCATGTGCAACCAAGTCAGGCTTCCATAAACGTTTAATAAATCCTAAAATTAGAGCTGTTCTCACTCAGGAGTAATAAGCCAAGTGAGACAAAGTGATTGGTCCGAGGTCACATATCTACAACAACCTGCAGCTTTTAACCTGGTGTCAAACCCCAGGTTCATTGTTTCCTCATACTGTATTGTTGAGTCCCCAGCTGTAGTTCTGCTGTAGAGAACAAAGATGCAAACCAAAGGAGAAAGATAGGATTTTACTGGAAGTAAAGTAGCTCCTGGACTTTCAGGAGGTGTCCCCAGATGGGGGGCTGCCTCCGCCCATTCAGAACTAATTGTAAACAGAGCACAAAAGCTGGTCATTTCTTTAGTGGCCACCCATCATAGCCTGAGGAAGTTCATTCTTGTCCAAAGTTCTAGTTCACTAAATTTTTGTCAGTGTGGCTGGTCACCCAACTTTATCTCAGGCCCTTCTACTAGCTAGCTGCCTGACTCATAAGCTATTTTTTTTTTTTTTTTACAGTATGAGGAAACCACAGCACCTTAATATAACACACTCCTTTATGCTGGCAGAGTTTGCCATTTCCTTTTAGTTGCTTTATATTTCTACTTATGCAGCTGCCACGACCTTCTGTCATCCTATGAAACATCTCAGGTTCCCTGACAGGTGTCTTCTGTGCCTTATACCCCACAGTCCTTAGGGACCTGGGGGTTTCTGATCTGTGTTTGGATACTCTTGATCGCCTATGCATGAGCACTAGAAATTCTCTGTAAGGACACATGGGCTGCAGCCTCATCTTTGGGGACACCAGTGTCTGTCCCACAGAAATGAATTAAACCATGAAGGGCCTGACTGAGCTCTTGTGCACCTCAGGTCCTAGGTTCTCCGTCCTTTGTGACATCAGACACACCCTTTTTCTGCGGGTCTCGGAGGTGGGGCTGGTAGAGATTGCAGAAATCTCGTGTGTAGTGTGTTCACACTGGGCTACATCCCTACGTGGGGATCACAGGTTTTCATTGTACCTCACCCCCTTATTTTTAGACAGGTTTTTGCTGAATTGATCATGGTGGACTTGAACCTGTGATCCTCCCACCTCAGCCTCCCAGCCTCCCTTGTGGGTCCCTTGCCCTCCTGGATGTACAGTGGCTGCTTTCCTGAGCTCCTCTGTTTCCTTGACAGCCCACCCAAGGATCTTCTTGGTATAGTCATGAATTCTGCGGGCTCAGCAGGACACAGACACAAGTTTTCAGGGTTAAGCTTTATTGGATACACTGAAGACTAAATGGGGCCTTAGTTTGCCTCAAGTCTGCTTCAGCTAGGAAAAGACTCCACAGGGGGTTTCCAGGGTTCAGGAGAGAACATATCTGACCTCTGGCCGGCCAGCTCTTCAGATAATCTCAGGGGCTCCCTGAGAGTCAGAGCTTGGTGTAGAGTCTGGGGTTTGGGCAAGGAGTTCCAGGGATCCTCCGTAGCTCTGGAACTGGGATGAGAACTTTTGGGGAAAAGACTGTGGTCCACAGTCTGGAGAAGGGCTGGGCTTTGGGGAGGCTTGATTTGAGGCCTGATGCGAAAGCCCTGACCTTTGAGTGGAGTCTGGTGTTTGAAGATGTGCAGACCTGAGGCTCTGAGTGTAGGAGGATGTGCCTGGGGCTGGATCAGCCTGGCCCCAAGCCCCTTGGGCCTGTGCTGCAGGTGTTTCACACCAAGGGGATTGAGCGGCCTTGCCCCGAGGCCTTGCTCCCTTCTGCCTTCTTTTTGGCAACAGATTCAAGGCCCTGGCCTCACCCAAGGACAGGCGGAGGCCAAAGCCAATGCCCATTCGGCGTGGCCCAAATTCCTTGCCTCGAGCACAGGGTAGTAGTTGAGGAAAGGCAAGCAGCTGAGGTCCAGTACTGTACTTGGAGATAGGACAAGAAGGACTTCGGAGATGAAGGCACAAGAGGCATATGGGATACTCCACAACTGGGGCCTGGCTGTTTCTGCCAAACCACAAATGCTGCAAAAGCAGGAGCCGTAGGTCGTGTGCAATGCGTCGAAGCCCCAGCCGGGCCACCAGGGTCTGGGCCAGGGACCCTGGGTTCCTGAACTCTGCAGGGTTCCTGTCACCTGCAGTGCATCCCATCACCACCCCAGGGGACCTGGTTCCCCGGCTCCAGTGCTGTGCCTGCCTGTTAGAGTAGATCCCTGGAGAAGGAAGGGCCGGACTGCGGGATGTGAGCGGGGAGCTAAGGAGGTCTTCGGGGTGGGAAGTACTTTGGCAGTGGGATTCGGGAAGGGAGTTCCACTGCTGCGAAGCCGAGGAGGGGTGGGTAAAAGGAGGCGAGGTGCACAACCAGTAGCAGTTGGAAGAGGACTGTGGATTGGAGAGGTAAGGGTAGCTCTGATGAGAAAAAGTGGGGAGACTTGGGAGAGAGGAGGAGTAGGGGTGTGGAGGTAAGTCCAAATGACTGCAAGAGTGTAACTGAGGACTGGAAGTGTGGGTCTGTGGAGGAAAGGGGGAGGACAGACGGGTTTCTGGGGAAGTGGACACAGATGGGTGAGGGTCAGGGGGGGATCGACGCAGAGACCAGCGCTGGAGGTTGGAGTGAGGGGAGTCCGAAGGTTGTGAGAGGCTGCAAGGCGGACAGCCAGGAGGAAAAGTGTTCCCTAGCAGCACCTGGTCCTGGTTTTGAGGCAACATTGCCTTAAATCCAAAAGGCCTTGGGCGACCAAATGAGGGATTAAAAACCTAGCGGGCTCAGGACCCCAATATCAAGGGCCGGGGGAGGTTGAGCATCCAGGCTGCCTTCTGGGTGCCTTGTGGCTTCAGGCTGGTGCTGCTACCGGTGTCGTCAGCAGGAGGCCGAGGAGGTGCTGGTCTTGCAGCCTGAGGCCCTCAGAGTGCTCAGGTGGGAGCCTCTGTCTGAGCCTGGCTTCTCGCCTCTGTGTAGTCAGCTGTTGATGAATACATAGGAACAGAGGGTCAGAAGGGCCTATCTGATGACAGGTTGACTATCTGATGGGACCATGAGGAAAACACACCCCACAGGACCTGCAGGGGCAGGCGGCGGACATAGTGTCCACCTCTGGCCTGCGTTGGGTGCCCAGTTTCATAATGAACTCTCTAAACCCCAACCCTTTTGCCCTTTTGGGAAAAAACTGGCAAAATGTTCCAGGGAAGGTGAGAGTTAGAGGAGGGGTTTGGGACAAGGGGGGAGATGGGAAGAGGCAGCAGGGTGCTGGTGCTGAGTCCTTCCTTACCTCTGAGGATTCCTCCAGGCCTCACTTCATGAGACACCTAGCCAGGAGAGGACCTGGGAGGGAGAGTAGCAGAGTCATCAGATGGTAACTACCCGCCCCCCGCCTGGCCCTAGAGTCTGTCGCCCCACACTCACCCTGACCCCAGATTCTGAGTGTTGTCTTAGTCCTCCAGAAGCCAGCCAGAAGTCTTCTGTGTGTTCGGCCTCCTAATCTCGGCTCAGAGATTCTTCAAGCACCCTGGATTTCTCTCACCGGTTCCCTGAGCCCCTTGTCCATCCTAATGCTGACGTCCTCTGGGTCAGCCAGGCGCTGGCTGAGATGGTTTATCACATCCAGCAGCCACAGCAGCAGTGGGACCAGCTGGTAAAAGCCTGTGGGAGCTGTGAGAGACCCAGGCTTTGTCTAAGGGGCGGTGTTGCCGCCACCAGTGGGAGCTGAGAGCCCCTTTTCGTGGCAGAGAGTGCCTGAGTCACAGAGGTCAGGTGCTGACATCATAGAAGCTTGTCCTTGAGGTACCAAGTGCCTTCCCTCAGGGACCCTGTGAAGGCTGGGCCTTGACAAAACCGAGAAGCAGGCAGAGCTGCCGAATGCCTCAGTTTCTCCTTCAGTACCTAGGCAGCTCCGTGTCCGGATAATTTACAGCTGGCACCACTTCCTCTGTCTGCTGCTGTCCTGGCCACAGACCCTACCTGGGCTTCCTGTCTTCCTCTGCCCGCCAGGAAGTGGTTCACAGCCCACACCTTCCCCACTTGGGAATGTGCTTCTTAAATGCTTTAGAACTATTTTCTTAGCATCTTTATTGAGATATACTTTGCATATCACACAATCCCCCTACTTAATGTGTTCCAATTCAGCGTGTTCTTGTACAGTCCAATATTCATAGGATTGCACAACTATCTCCAGAATGTAATTTTAGAAAGTTTTCCTCCCCCTCTGCCCAAAGAAATTTTGTATCCATTAGCAGGCACTCACCAGTCTCCACTTCCCCTCAGCCCCTGGAAACCACAAATCTGCTTTCTGTTTCTATAGATTTGCATAATCTGGATGGTTCATGTAAACACCCTGTTGTATTTGAAAGATTCATTCATGTAGGACTATGTGTCAGAACTTCGTTCCTTTTTATTGGCAAATAATATTCTTTTGTATGAACAGGCCACTCCTTTAGTTAGCCACTCTTCCTTTGATAGAAATTTTGGCTGTTTTTCTTTTTGGCAATGATAAACAATGCTGCTGTGAACAGTGTTTTACATGTTTTGTGTGGACATCTATTTTCATTTATCTCAAGTCGAATGATGAATCCATATTCAACATCTGCAGAACTACCAAACTCTCCCAAACTGGTTGTAAGGTTTCCAGATGTGGTGGCATACACCTGTAATCCCGATACTCTGGGAGGCTGAGGCAGGAGGATCACAAGCTTAAAGCCACAATGGGCAAGTTAGTGATTTATTGAGACTCTGTTTCAAAATTTTAAAAAGGTCTGGGGATAGGACTCAACAGAAAGGTCATGGATTCAAGCCCCAGTACCACAGTGATATAGTGTCATACTCAGGTTTTGGCTTACATTTTCCAAAGGACTAATTTGCATCTTTTCATCCAAATCACTGGACCATCTTTTAGTTTTATGCTGAATTAAAAAGTTTGTGATTTGGTCTGGAATGTGCCCCTTTTCAGATAAATGACTTACAGATTTTTCCCTGCTCTGTGGATTATCTCTTTACACTCTAGCTGGTCTCTTCCGATGCACAAGAGTTTTTCTTTTATTTATTATTAGCGTGCGCCTGTGTGTGCCCTACTGGGAGCTGCATCCTCGGCCTTCACACCAAGTCCATCCCCAGCCCTTTCTCTTTTCCTGTTTTTATTCTGAGGCAGGGTCTTGCCGAGTCACTGAGTTGCCCAGGCTGTGCTTGACCTTCTAGTTCTCCTACTTCGGCCCCCCAGAGTGCTGGGATTATAGTACCCCCCCCCATCTGGCCAAGAATCACTCATCCTTAATATCTGATCGTCCTTAATATTTGATCAGGATTCCTCAGCCCCACTCTCTGCCAGGTGCTGTCTGGTCACGCTGTCCCGTCTTTAGCAAGCAGCCTGGTAGGTTGGTTTAACCAGAATGCCCTTTTCCTGCTATTTCCTCTTCATAATGTTTCTGGACTGACCCTCACATAGCTCCTCGGCTACAAATTCCCGCCTGCTACAGGAACTGAGTCCTGGCTCCTTTCCTCACTATAACACCCCACAGTGATGCCTATTCTTTTTTTAAATTTTTAAAAATTTTTATTTTAAAGGGGGTAAAATTAAACAGAACAAAATAGACATAAGAAATCAATATAAGAGAGATAAATTTCAAAGCTAGACAACCCAAGATCTTCACTGTCTATCATACTGTCTCTTGTTTTCTTCCACATAATCGCCCATGTCTTCACATACAGAGAATTCATACAAAACAACATAATATAAAACTGATCCAAACAAAACGAGGAAGGCATTTTAGGTCTTACAGAACCAGACAATAGGGAAGTCACTAATGGCTGTCGTAGAGTCTCTCGTTCTCTTCAAAACAGCTGTCCATACTTTCATGTATATTGAAGTTCAACAAAACAAAACAGGTAGTGGGGAAGGTTTGTGGGTTTCCCGGCACTCCAGTGCCAGCATGGTGCCGGTCCCCGTAAACGCCCTTGGCTCCCGTCCTGGGCCACCGGAGCTCGCCACACTCACAGCCACACTCACAGCCGCTCACAGGAGTGGAGGAGTTGCTTCAAGCTGTTTCTTTCTAATGAATTGACCATTTCACTGCCCAAGTTCTGAAATGGCCAACAGATCATAGAAAGACATCTTTTTAGGCTCCTGCTTGAAACCAGCAGCGTCAGGAAGCTGCCAGCCTTGATTCAGGGCCAGTGATGCCTATTTTTTTTTTTTTTTTTTTGTCTTTTTCCTTTTTACCGGTTCCGGGGATCCAACTCACAACCACTTGCTTCCAAGGCAGGTTCTTATGCAGCTGAACTAAATCCCCAGCCCCTGTGATGCCTATTTTTATAAAAAGAAAAATTGTCCCGATTAGAGTCTTCCTGACTGTGCTTTGAGAAGGATCATTGAATATTTTTTCTTAAAAGATTAATAGCTCATTTGGAGTTAACTTTTGTATGTGGCAAAGGCAGGGGTCCACTTTCTTTTAAATATAAATGCTCAGGTGTCCCAAGATCTCTTTTTTTGTTTTTATTGGTACCGGGGATCAAACTCACAACCTGCCTGCTTGCAAGGCAGGTTCTTATGCCACTGAGCTAAATTCCCCAGCCCTGCCCAATGCCTCTTGTTGAAAAGACTATTCTTTCCCTAGGCAAATGCCTCAGCACATTTGTTCAGTGTCAGTTGACCGTTGTATTAGTTTCCTGGTTGCTCTCCTAACAACCTGTGATTATTAGTGATTTAAAACAACACGGGTTTATTAGCTTCCAGGCCTGAGTTCCTTTCTTGTGGTTCTGAGGAAGCATCCATCTCCTTGCCACTCATGTCCGGAGGTCGCCCTTGGCTATAGTTTGGATCTGGTGTGGGTGTGTCCCCTAAGAGTCATGTGCTGGAGGCTCGGTCTGGACACATTGCTGGAAGCTTCCAGAGGTAATTAGGTCATGGGGAATTGCCCTGGGAAGAGATTAGTGCTAATCTTGTGGACTTAGTTCTCATGAGAATGGGTGGTTATAAGGCAGCCAGCTTGGCCCCTGCGGGACTCTGGTTCCCCCATCACCACGTAGTCTCTTCTGCGTGTGCTTTTGCTGCTATGATGTCTTCCCTGAGGCCTTCAATGGGGACTGAACACCCAGTCTTGGACTTTCAGCCTCCAAAACTGTGAGCTAAAAAAACTTTTCTTTATGAAGCAGCCAGACATAGCTGCGTTTTGTTAGTGCAAATGGAAAGTGGGCTGAGACATATGCTTCCTTGGTTTGTATCCCCCCCACCCATGTCTTCAAAGCCGGCGCCATCACACCTCCGTGCCAGTCTTCCATGATCACATCTCCCTCTGACTCCGACATTCCTGCCTCCCTTCTGAATTTTTAAGGAGCCTTGTAATTACATTGGGTCCAGCAGATAATCTGGGATAATCCATTTTATTTTTTTTATTTTTTTTTTTTTTTGTTTTTTGTCTTTTTCATTTTTATTGGTACCGGGGATTGAACTCACGACCGCCTGCTTGAAAGGCAGGTACTTATGCCGCTGAGCTAAATCCCCAGCCCCTGGGATAATCCATTTTAAAGTCAGCTCATTAGCAACCCTGCTTCTCCTCCCTTGGAGCATAGGATTTCACAAATTCCAGGGATTAAAGTGAACTTTTTTCGGGGTGGAAGGTCTTATTCTGTTTAAATATTAGGTCTTATTCTGTTTAAATATAAGGATTTATGAATGAACTCGCAAGAAATAAAAAAAATTTTTTTTAAAAGACCAGAAATAACATTAAATCCGTATATCTGGGGAATATTGCTATCATAATACTTTTTCAATCTGTGACTATGAGCTATATTTCCATCTTTATATCTCTTTTAATGATATTTTATAGATTTCAATGTACAAACCTTGAAATTTTGTTAAATTTCTTTTTTTTTTCTTTTTTTGGTGCCTGTGATCAAACTCACGATCCTGCACTTACCAGGTAGACGCTCACCCTTCTGAGCTAAATCCAGGCCCCTTAAATTTCTTCTTCCTTTCTTCCTTCACAGTACTGGGGGGTGAACTCAGGGCCTTTGTACTGAGCTACACCTCCAGCATTTTTTAATATACATTTTTAAAATTTTGAGACAGGGGCTCATTAAGCCTCTAAATTGCCCAGGTTAGGCTCAAATTTTCCATACTCCTAAATCAGCCACCCAGGATCCCAGGGAGAAGGTGGCAGATTGATAAGTAGCAAGGTAGGGAACATCTCTGAGAGAAACAGCTCAGATGCTGGAATTTACCACCGTGGAGAAGACTGGATGAAAGGAGAGGGATTCTTATGACCCAGGAAGAAACTAAGGGGAAAAAAAAGAAAGAAAAAGAAAAAGGAAAGGAAAGACAAACGTGGCACAAGCCTGGAGCCTTGACTGAGCCAGTCCAGCCTGCGGTCACGGCACTGTCACTGGAGCTGCCAGACACGTGGTCGTGGCACTCTCATCAGAGATGCAGTCAAGCTGAAGTCAGGTTGGTGAGCCCAGTGGAGAACAGGGCTGGCGTGGAAACCCGCACTAACCCAGGGTGAGCACTCAGGATTTGGTCCTCCCGGGAGAGTGGGGGTGACCGACTGGAAGACGTATTGGAATTGGGCAGGAGGGGCCTGAACAAGGAAAGGCAGTGACTTCAGTTGGCTGCTCCTTGCCCAGAGCAGACTAGTGGGATCTGCTGGGGCTGGGTCATGTCCCTGGCCGGAACCCAGTAACCAGGGATGAAACTGTCCCCAAAGTTGTCCGAACTGGTTCTGTCCAGCAGAACACACCAACGTGACTGGCTTGGAGGGGAGGGGCCGGCCTACATCGCCCCTGCTTGCACCTCAGTGACCAACAGCAAACTGGAGACGGCAGAAATCCTTAAACAACATGCTTCAGAAGAACCTAACCAATACAGACAGGGGCTGGGATCTCCACCGTACACCTGTATGGAAGAAACTAGAAACATGACAAGTGAAAGAAATAAGAAAAAGTCCCCAG